ACGGTGGCATCCTATTACAGTACTACACTCAAATTCAGTGAGCTCTTTAGAATGACCCATTCTTTCACAAATGTTTGTAAAGGCAGACTGCATGGCTAGGTGCTTGATTTTATACACCTGTGGCAATGGAACTGAATGAAACACCTGACTTTAGTGATTAAGCGGTGTGTCCCAATGCTTCTATATAGTGCATAACTCTAGCAGATAAAGCTCTAACAGATATAGCTCAAGCAGATATAAGTCTGGCTGATACAATTCTAGAAGATATAGCTCTAGCTGATATAGCTATAGCTATATATAGCTATAGTATTTAAGTCCAGCTGATGTAACTCTTAGCAAATATAAGTCTGGCTAATATAGCTCTATAGCAGATATAAGTCTGGCTGATACAGCTCTATAGCAGTTATAAGTCTGGCTGATACAGCTCTATAGCAGATATAAGTCTGTCTGATACAGCTCTATAGCAGACATAAGTCTGGCTGGTACAGCTCTTTAGCAGACATATGTCTGGCTGATACAGCTCTATAGCAGACATAAGTCTGGCTGATATAGCTTTATAGCAGACATAAGTCTGGCTGATAAAGCTCTATAGCAGATATAAGTCTGGCTGATACAGCTCTATAGCAGACATAAGTCTGGCTGATACAGCTCTATAGCAGATATAAGTCTGGCTGATACAGCTCTATAGCAGATATAAGTCTGGCTGATACAATTCTAGAAGATATAGCTCTAGCTGATATAGCTATAGCTATATATAGCTATAGTATTTAAGTCCAGCTGATGTAACTCTTAGCAAATATAAGTCTGGCTAATATAGCTCTATAGCAGTTATAAGTCTGGCTGATACAGCTCTATAGCAGTTATAAGTCTGGCTGATACAGCTCTATAGCAGATATAAGTCTGTCTGATACAGCTCTATAGCAGATATAAGTCTGTCTGATACAGCTCTATAGCAGTTATAAGTCTGGCTGATACAGCTCTATAGCAGACATAAGTCTGGCTGATACAGCTCTATAGCAGATATAAGTCTGTCTGATACAGCTCTATAGCAGATATAAGTCTGTCTGATACAGCTCTATAGCAGACATAAGTCTGGCTGATACAGCTCTATAGCAGACATAAGTCTGGCTGATATAGCTTTATAGCAGACATAAGTCTGGCTGATAAAGCTCTATAGCAGACATAAGTCTGGCTGGTACAGCTCTTTAGCAGACATAAGTCTGGCTGATACAGCTCTATAGCAGACATAAGTCTGGCTGATATAGCTTTATAGCAGACATAAGTCTGGCTGATAAAGCTCTATAGCAGACATAAGTCTGGCTGGTACAGCTCTTTAGCAGACATAAGTCTGGCTGATACAGCTCTATAGCAGGCATAAGTCTGGCTGATACAGCTCTATAGCAGATATAAGTCTGGCTGATACAGCTCTATAGCAGACATAAGTCTGGCTGATACAGCTCTATAGCAGATATAAGTCTGGCTGATACAGCTCTATAGCAGACATAAGTCTGGCTGATACAGCTCTATAGCAGACATAAGTCTGGCTGATAAAGCTCTTTAGCAGACATAAGTCTGGCTGATAAAGCTCTTTAGCAGACATAAGTCTGGCTGATACAGCTCTATAGCAGATATAAGTATGTCTGATACAGCTCTATAGCACAAATAAGTCTGGCTGATACAGCTCTATAGCACAAATAAGTCTGGCTGATACAGTTCTATAGCACAAATAAGTCTGGCTGATACAGCTCTATAGCACAAATAAGTCTGGCTGATACAGCTCTATAGCAGATATAAGTCTGGCTGATACAGCTCTATAGCAGACATATGTCTGGCTGATACAGTTCTATAGCAGACATAAGTCTGGCTGATACAGCTCTATAGCAGACATAAGTCTGGCTGATATAGCTTTATAGTAGACATAAGTCTGGCTGATAAAGCTCTATAGCAGACATAAGTCTGGCTGGTACAGCTCTTTAGCAGACATAAGTCTGGCTGATACAGCTCTATAGCAGACATAAGTCTGGCTGATACAGCTCTATAGCAGATATAAGTCTGGCTGATACAGCTCTATAGCAGACATAAGTCTGGCTGATACAGCTCTATAGCAGATATAAGTCTGGCTGATACAGCTCTATAGCAGACATAAGTCTGGCTGATACAGCTCTATAGCAGATATAAGTATGTCTGATACAGCTCTATAGCACAAATAAGTCTGGCTGATACAGCTCTATAGCACAAATAAGTCTGGCTGATACAGTTCTATAGCACAAATAAGTCTGGCTGATACAGCTCTATAGCACAAATAAGTCTGGCTGATACAGCTCTATAGCAGATATAAGTCTGGCTGATACAGCTCTATAGCAGACATATGTCTGGCTGATACAGTTCTATAGCAGACATAAGTCTGGCTGATACAGCTCTATAGCAGACATAAGTCTGGCTGATATAGCTTTATAGCAGACATAAGTCTGGCTGATAAAGCTCTATAGCAGACATAAGTCTGGCTGGTACAGCTCTTTAGCAGACATAAGTCTGGCTGATACAGCTCTATAGCAGACATAAGTCTGGCTGATACAGCTCTATAGCAGACATAAGTCTGGCTGATACAGCTCTATAGCAGACATAAGTCTGGCTGATACAGCTCTATAGCAGACATAGGTCTGGCTGATACAGCTCTATAGCAGACATAAGTCTGGCTGATAAAGCTCTTTAGCAGACATAAGTCTGGCTGATAAAGCTCTTTAGCAGACATAAGTCTGGCTGATACAGCTCTATAGCAGATATAAGTATGTCTGATACAGCTCTATAGCAGATATAAGTCTGGCTGATACAGCTCTACAGCAGACATAAGTCTGGCTGATACAGCTCTACAGCAGATATAAGTCTGGCTGATACAGCTCTATAGCACAAATAAGTCTGGCTGATACAGCTCTATAGCACAAAAAAGTCTGGCTGATACAGCTCTTGTAGATTTACCTCTAGTGGATGTATTTCTAGCTAATTAAGCTTTATCGAATGATGTCTAACTGATAAAGCTGTACAGCTAGCTGGTATAGGTGCTATATCTAGCTGCTATAGTTTAGCAGATATAGCTAGATATAACTAGGTTAGTAGCATCTGGTGCTCCTCTGAACTCATCTGATGTATTCAAGAGAGAGAGATGGTTATTTTAGTGGTGGAATATACACTATTTGTGCTGAAATTACATGCAGAGAGGCTCATGGCTCTCCAGTGGCTGCTTAAGAGCCACTTAAGCAGTCGGCCACACAATAAAGGTCAAATTGCCTCACAGCTAATGTGCTTTTTCTAGCTTATTTGCTCATTACCACCAGAGGTTGGAAGAAGAGCCTAAAGCCAAACTCAAGCAAAAGAAAAAAATAACAAAAATGGAGTTATCACAGTAAGACCACTACATCTGAAAGAATATCACATTTGTCACAATTTCACATTTCCATGCTGGAACTGTGCAACAGTCATTTCACCTTACAAATCACAGTCATAGGCAGGTTGAAGGGCCTAAACCCATATTTAAGTACAAGTCTCGTTACTAGGATGAGTAAAAAGGATCAGGTCCAGAAATTCCTCCAGTACTGAGTTCTCTGCAGAACTGCAGTGGAACATGTGTATATGTGTTCTGGTGGGTGTGTTCTGGTGTAAATAAATACTGGTTGCTTAAATGACACTACACCGCGATTTCAAGGCTTCCCAGACCGGCTGCTTAAGTGACACTACACCACAGCTACGTGGCTCCCTAAGCAGGCAGTTACAGTGATACTACACCACAGTTATGGGGCCTCTCAGGCTGAGAGAGACCTTCCCCCATGGTTAAGAGCTAAGAGGCGTCCCAGGCCAGCTGCCTGAGCGATGCTACACTGTAGCTTCAAGACCTCCTGGACTGAGAGGGACCTCCTTCTGTGACTCAGGACTATTTCCAGGCTAGCTAAGTGATTCTGTACAGAGGTCTGGGGAGTTTTCCACTGCCAGCTGGGGAACTGCATGTGTGTGTCTGTGTGTTGTGGTTTGTTTTATTTATTGTTGGTTATGTATTTGTTTACAGCAGAAAGGTGCTATATCAATGAAAAATTAAATTTTTTTATCATTTTATTTGGCTGATTAAAACTAATTTGATCTTAATTCTATCATTGTTATTTATTTATTTGATGTTGTTTGATCCATTACTTAGTTCATGTAGTTCTGTTCATTTTAGTTTATCCCTCAATCATTTCTTTTTCAAATACTTTACAAATACACTTTAAATATGTGGCTGCAATATGGGTCACCCTAAATGGATTTTCAAGTAAAAATAAATGCTTATTATATATATATATATATATATATATATATATATATATATATATATATATATATATATATATATATATGTTACATCTACATGGTGGACTAACAAGGTAGGAGTGGACAGTGAGTGGACACAGTGTTTAAAAACTCCGGCAGTACTGCTGTGTCTGATCTACTCGCACCAGCACAACACACACTAAAACACCACCACCACATCAGTGTTACTGCAGTGCTGAGAATGATCCACCACCTAAATAATGCCTGCTCTGTGAGGTTCCATGGGGGTCCTGACCACTGAAGAACAGGGTAAAAGGGGGCTGACAAAATATACAGAGAAACAGATGGACTACAGTCTGTAACTGTAGAACTACAAAGTGCACCTATATAGTAAGTGGAGCTGATAAAATGGACAATGAAATAAGACACAAGGTAGCTGTACCTAATAAAGTGCTCAGTGAGAGTGTGCTTTAAACTCAGTGTTGCCATTTTATAATTACAAAAATTATAGCATTATTAGTCATATTAAAAGCAGGTATGTATAATAAATGTAAACAATAAATAAACAAAAGCAACGGAGCAATCAAATAAACCTCTCTCTCTCTCTCTCTCTCTCTCTCTCTCTCTCTCTCTCTCTCTCTCTCTCTCTCGCTCTCTCTCCCGTCGCACATGCGCACTCCCTCTCTCCCTCCACATCACTGATAGCTCCGGTAAACGAAAGGGCAGAGAGAGAGAGCGTGAGCGTCTCGGGTTAATCCACGCACACACGCGCACATACACGCACACGCGGACACACACTCTCCGTGCAGCGCGCGAGAATGATGGAGAGATAGAGCGGTGAAGGAGGGATGAAGGAGGGAAGGACAGGATGAAGTGTGTTGTGTTAGCGCTGTGGCTCGCGCTCGCAGCCGCCCATGCAACTACTGAAGGTGAGAGACGCGCATCATTAAACGATTCATTACGAATAAGGTCATTAATATTAGCTGAGTGAGGCGGTGCAAGTTTTCTGTCCCTGCGCGTGTGGAGGAGCGTGCGCCTTCAGTAATGAGCAGCTGGAGGAGTGTGTGTGGTGTGTTCAAGTGTGTGTTTGAGTGTGTGGTGTGTTTGACTGTGTGGTGTGTTTCAGTGTGTAGTGTGTGTGGTGTATTTCAATGTGTGGTGTGTTTGAGTATACATTTGAGTGTGTGGCATGTTTTAGTGTGTGCTGTGTTGGGGTGTGTTTCAGTGTGTGTTAGAGTGTAAGGTGTATTTGAGTGTGTGTTTGACTGTGTGGTGTGTTGGGGTGTGTAGTGTGTGTGGTGTGTTTGAGTATACATTTGAGTGTGTGGCATGATTTAGTGTGTGGTGTGTTGTGTGTGTGTTGGAGTGTGTGTGGTGTGTTGGAGTGTGAGGTGTGTTTGTGTGTGGTATGTTTCAGTGTGTGGTGTGTTGTGTGTGTGTTGGAGTGTGTGTGGTGTGTTGGGGTATGTGTTTGAGTGTGTGGTCTATTTGAGCGTGTGGTGTTTGGGTGTGTGGTGTGTTTAATAGTATGTTTGAGTGTGCGGTGTGTTTAATAGTGTGTGTGAATCTGCGGTGTGTTTGAGTGTGTGCAGTGTGTTTGAGTGTGCGGTGTGTTTAATAGTGTGTTTGAGTGTGTGAGTGTGCGGTGTGTTTGAGTGTGTGGTGTGTTTGAGTGTGCGGTGTGTTTAATAGTGTGTTTGAGTGTGTGTGAGTGTGCAGTGTGTTTGAGTGTGCGGTGTGTTTAATAGTGTGTGTGAGTGTGCAGTGTGTTTGAGTGTGTGAGTGTGCGGTGTGTTTGAGTGTGTGGTGTGTTTAATAGTGTGTTGGAGTTTGTGTGAGTGTGCGGAGTGCTGGAGTGTGTGGTGTGTCTAATAGTGTGTGTGAGTGTGCGGTGTGTTTGAGTGTGTGTGAGTGTGCGGAGTGCTGGAGTGTGTGGTGTGTTTGAGTGTGTGTAAGTGTGCGGAGTGCTGGAGTGTGTGGTGTGTTTGAGAGTGTGTGAGTGTGTGGCGTGTTGGAGTGTATCTGTGTGCAGAGTGCTGGAGTGTGTGGTGTGTTTGAGTGTGTGGTGTGTTTAATAGTGTGTGTGAGTGTGCGGTGTGTTTGAGTGTGTGTGAGTGTGCGGAGTGCTGGAGTGTGTGGTGTGTTGGAGTGTGTGTGAGTGTGTGGTGTGTTTAATAGTGTGTGTGAGTGTGCGGTGTGTTTGAGTGTGTGTGAGTGTGCGGAGTGCTGGAGTGTGTGGTGTGTTGGAGTGTGTGTGAGTGTGTGGTGTGTTTAATAGTGTGTGTGAGTGTGTGGTGTGTTTGAGTGTGTGTGAGTGTGCGGTGTGCTGGAGTGTGTGGTGTGTTTGAGAGTGTGTGAGTGTGCGGTATGTTGGAGAGTATGTTGTTTCAGTGTGAGTTTGAGTTTGAATATCTGTTATTACTTGATCAAATCCATGATATCCTGTATCTGAGCGAGGTGTTCAGGGTCTTTGGGAGAAAAACAGCCACATCATCACAGATCCACCACCGTACTTCACAGTAGGGATGAGGCACCTTTCTGTATGGCTGTCTTTGTGTCTACCCCAAACTCTCCTCCGGTGTTTGACATTAGAGACCCCCACCTCAAACAACGTGTGGTATATAAGTGGTATCTGATTGTATGAGGTGACACACAATTCTAGAATGTTTTACCCCAGTGGAACAGAAGATCATTGACTGGTTCTGTAAGTGTTACTGATCTTGTGTGAACTTTGAAAAAACTCTGAATGAGAATAAACTTCAGTTAGATTTAATTCAAAAGATATAATATATCTTAAAGCAATAAGCCACAAGAGGCTGCGCATTATGGCAGTTTTATTATGGGGATGGGGTGTTCTTACTTCAGATCGTTAGCACGATGTGAAGCCGAGTGCCTACAACCTCCTTCCCTGTGATAAAAGCCTCGAGTGGCTTACTGCTTTTATAAAACAGTGGCCAACATAAAGTAATAAAAACCACATTTTTCAGAAGATAGTTTAAGATATTATTAATTATAATCAACATAAACAAGTCTTCCTCCAAGAAATGTAGTTCCTTTAGCGTATGGTATCGTTTCTGAGCAACCATGGACTCCTGAACGCAGAGAACGTTCATGCACTGATCACTGTATATTGCGGTCATCTGTTATTTTATGAACTTTAACTTTTTGTCAAATAACAATGAAAATATATCACAGCTTTGTTTAAAGCAAAAACTTTTGCTTTATAAGTACTTTTTGGGCACCAAACTACCTCCGCATGTCTTGCTTAGCACGAATCTAAGAGCGCCCCTCTTCCCGCGCTGAGCCTGAGTCTCAAATGGCTCCCTGCTCCCTACATAGTGCACTACATAGAGCTTTAAAAACTGGCTCCTGCATCCCAACAGTGCATTTTATAATATCACTAAAATTAGTTATTTGCGATTCAGCCACATCCATTCTCCACAAATAGCGCACTATTTGGCTGTAGATGCAAGAATTTTCATAGCACAGTATTTAGGGAGTAGGGAGGTGTTTGGGATTCAGCCTGAGTTTGTTGCTACTTAAGACAGATCTGACTCAAACATGGACATCTGAAGCCTGTAAGCCATTCAAGTGACATTCTTTAGACTTTTATATTGCTGTTTTACAGCGAAACGTATTTTAAGTACTTTAATTGAAACCTATGATATTAATGATGGAGTTGTTTAGGCTGTATATTTCAGCCTGTTAACTAGCTGTCCAGCCTAGTTCTAGTTAAGTTCTAAGCCCCTCAGTTTAAAGAAAACACAGGTTCCTTCTTCATCAGTAACTCGGTTCCTTCCATATATATTAATGTTCATGAAATATTTCCTGTTTGGCTTTCCTTACATATTCTTAATATGCTTGTTGATATTTTGATGAAACTGTGTGTGTGTGTGTGTGTGTGTGAGTGAGTGTGTGTGTGTGTGAGTGAGTGTGTGTGTGTGAGAGTGAGTATGTGTGTGTGTGTGAGTATGTGTGTGTGAGTATGTGTGTGTGTGTGTGTGTGTGTGTGTGTGTGTGTGTGAGTGAGTGTGTGTGTGTGTGTGTGTGTGTGTGTGTGTGTGTGTGAGTGAGTATGTGTGAGTGAGTATGTGTGTGTGTGTGTGTGTGTGTGTGTGTGAGTGAGTATGTGTGTGTGTGTGTGTGTGTGTGTGTGTGTGTGAGTGAGTATGTGTGAGTGAGTATGTGTGTGTGTGTGTGTGTGTGTGTGAGTGAGTATGTGTGTGTGTGTGTGTGTGTGTGTGTGTGAGTGAGTATGTGTGAGTGAGTGTGTGTGTGTGTGTGAAAGACACAGGGCCTTTTTCTCAGCAGCTCTGTGCTGAGAGAAGTGGAGCACTTTGCATTCCTTTAATCTGAGAATGGAAGTGCTGGACCCCATGATCATTTATCCACCTGTCAACACAGAAATACTGCAAGCTGGAACATTAACAGAGACATCAGTGTGCCTACACACACACACACACACACGCACGCACGCACGCACGCACGCACGCACACTTTTATTATGTTAGACGTTAGACAGTGTCAGGATTTCAGATCATATGCCATATATATATATATATGTATATAAAATAAAAAAGTGTTTCTTAAAAGTGAGCACAGAGCTTGACTGTCTAATAAAAGGTGGAATTGAGTTCCACAGTTTAGAAGCAGAACAACTGAACGAGGCCTCTCCATGTTTTCTGATCTAAGATCACATGCTGGAACATAAACAGACAGACACTCTGTGATGTCATATTTGTCCACTTTTGTCATTTTTTTCTGCATAATTTTAAAACTCCAGCTGCACTGAAACTGTAAAACTTCATGATTAACAGTCTATTAAAACGGTCTAAGATTCCATGGAAAAAATCGGGTTACATTAACTTTCATTAAAGTTTCATATATGATAAGCTTTATATATGATATATACGCTCACTGACAGCTCGTGATTTTCTATTATCTACATATAATATATTAATAATATATATATATATATATATATATATATATATATATATATATATATATATATTTCCCATACATTTTACATAAACAGTTATATACAAAAGCTCACCACCTCTGGTCATGTTTTGTTGATTTTCTAAGTGAAAATTTGTTAACACATCCTTTACAGAGAACACACTGCTGCACATTTTAATGCACAGTTACTGCTTATTTTCTGAATTTAACATATTGAACAAAATTAAAACATAAAACACGGCCTGTGCAAAAGTTATGGCACATTTCATATTTTAGGTTTTATTTGTTTCCAATTTGTCAAACTCAGCAGATACACAGACATGTGCGCTACAATTTGTAGAAGAATGCCATATTTAAACGTGTTCTCTGTAGAGCATGTGTCGACTTATTTTCACTCAGAAAATCAACAAAGCATGTAATTTGACAGGGGCCGTTCATACTCTGGCCTAAAACTATGTATCTGTAGCTTTGTCCTTATCTAACCTCAGTAACTCTTTCAGCTTTAAAGCCCTGTTTCCTCTGCTTTTCTTACATACGTGGGACATTTTTGTCCTGAAATGTATGAAAACAAGTGCACGCACGCTCACACACACCCTTTCACTCTCAAACCCATCCAGAAAGAGGAAGTGCAGTCAGAATGACTCTTTTTTTCTGTATTCTGCTTTTGTGCAGAATTAGTTCTGCCCTGTTGTTGCTGTGCCTTTGGGTTGAAAGCACACATGGCCTCATGTTCACATGTCTTTAGCTTGAACTCAGCATGTGTGCATCTTCCAACTGGCGTCAGCGCTCCTCTTTAGCCTGTTTCAGTTATAGCATGAACAAAAGCAGCTGTGATAAAACTGTGATTTTTATCTTATTCTCTTACCCTTATTTTTAGGGATCTTGGGATTTTACTGTTTTACTGAGTATCTATATATTGCTGCTGTTGGAGCAAAACCTCATATCTCCATTTTTGATGTTTTTCAGT